GATGATGTTTTTTAAAGTTTGTCTTATGCATCTGCCCTTGCCAGTGATCATATCTGTTCACTCCAGAAGTTCCTTATGCATATTTGCTTAGAGCAGATAGTGAACTTCTTTCTTAGCTTTTTGGATAGGATAGTGTACCTCTATATTTACTCTTTGTGCCTGTGGCCTTCCATGTTATCTTGAAGATAAGGAGAAACAGAATTCAGTATCTAATATTTACAGTTGAATTCTCCTCTACAGAAGTACCAGTCTTCTGTCTGTATACACTACTGGTGAAGTTAATAGTTGGTAGGACACTTATTCCAAGCTCCCTATAAACATGCCTCATCTGAACAATCACAACTAATATCAAATGTAGGAGTTCATAATTTGAGTGCAGAACGGGAGGATTTTTTCTTCTTTTTCTGGTGTTGAAATTAACTGTTGCATCATGAGGCTATGTATGTAAACATACAAGGTCATATAAACCACTTGAATTTGTAGCCATCAACTTGCAGTGGACCATATTCTTAACCATCTAGGCAGGTGGTTTTTCTTAGCCTGCTTGAATTGCTCTGACGGAAAGTCAGTTTTTGGATTTTGTTATATGTTACAACAATTGAAAACTTGTTGTAAATATCGTCAGTGTTATGAAAACCAGAATAACTTCTGGTTATGTTACTGTGCTTTCCTGACAAAAATCTTCATAGGCTAGTAGTATATATAACAACTTTCTGTCTGTGGTAGTATTCTCTTTTTTTTGTTGTTGTTTTGCTTTGTTTTGTTTTTGTTTTTTTCGCCTTCAATGTAAGGGGGAGGAAGGAGAGGAAGTAAAGGAGATCTTCCCATGACCAGACCTTGCCCTGTAATCTCAGCCAGTTGTGAGAATTGGTGTGAAGTTACATAAGAGTTACTTTTTAGTTACTCTGCATGGTATCTTTTTTAACAGAGTTCACAAGGTTATATTGCTTTGTCGTAAATAAACAAGTGGAAAAAAAAGACAAGAAAAATTAAACTGATTTATTGATTTATTCTTGATTTCAGGAGCTTATCAGAAAGAAGGTAAATAGAAAAGGATGCTTGAATACAGTAACGGTTTCAAATAATATTTATTGATTAGCTTCATTCTGTAATTATGCCAAATAAGAACGTTTTATAATTTTCTTAACAAAATGAACATTATAATTCAATTTTTATGTAGGGAAATGAGTTACAAACAACTCAATTTATACTTAACAGGAAGTACAGTGCAGCAAGATACAAGAAGACCAAGTTTCACTGGAGTGTGATGCATTATGCAAGGAAATGAAACGGAAGGCGTCTGAGGTAGTGTATCCATTTTAGTTATAATTTATCCTTGTTGCCTTAAGAAGAGTTGGAAAAAACAAGCAGATCATTATTTTTCAAGATGATAACAGCAAGAAATGTGATGTAAGTCAGTATACAGTTTAATTGCACATTTAATTTTTGGACTATTGAATCTGGCTTATTCTTGAGAATTGCACTACTTGTAGATAGTGTTAACTAACTCAATGAAGTACTATGTTAAGATAAAACTCTATTTCTTCTTTATTTTTAATGTACCTTGTAACTGGAGTTTTCCTCTTCAGCCAAGTAGTGCTAATCAATGATAATAAAATCATTGCTGCTAATAAGAGCTATAGAAGCACTTCACTTCATTTAGGCCTTACTTTTACTTTGAAGATTGGTTAAGTGTGATCTTTAAATTGTGTGACACACAATTGGCTGTCTCACAGTATTAGGTGTCTGCCTCAAGCATAGAGAGCTTTCAGTAATTGCGTGTGCTTTTCAGCCTGTTGTAAACATAAACGCTCTCCAGTAGTTTTGTTTGAAGTGAAGAAACTGCTGCATAATCTCATCTACAGAGACAGAATATCCACATTGTTTTTATAGGCCTTTTTTGGAAACACGAGGAAGTGGTGCATGAATTGGTTCACTTTTATCAACTTAATAGTACATGTGATTAAGCATTCAATCTAAAACCTCACTGTGTAAAAACAACGTCTGTCTGTTTCTGCTCAGAATTTCAGGATTGACAGGCAAGTTCTAGCACGTACTCTATAAGCCAAATTCTACAACTTTGCAGTCAGCTTGAACACTAAGATTCTTGGAATATACTTATAGAAAAGCCAGCAATAACAAACCATTCTAGTGAAAGTGGGGAAGTGAGTTTGTAGGGCATGGAGTGCACTGAAGTGGGGTGAATTCATGGAAGTCTGCATCAACAAAGGAGCACTTTTTGATGGGGTACAGTGTCAGCTGTGGTTTTACTTCAGCAGATAATATTTCCTATTTTTTACCTGTGCCATTGCCTTCAACTAGGAGGAATATTCTAATACAACAAGCAAATGACTACAGGTTGCTATGATAAGCAATGCCACGGATGTACTTTCTGGCATAAACTAGCTTTGTGTTCATTTCTCACAGAAGAATGTGGATTTCTCTGTTTTGGGTTTGTATGATGCAACCTATGTTGACTTGCAAGTGACATTCTAGAATGATATTTTATTATATGCACACTGCAAAATTAGATTGTAATGTCAATTGCTTTTTAATATGTTAAGACTGGAAAAAATAGCTTTGTTAAAAGTGCAGTTATATACAAAGAGAGCTTAGTTTTTGCACCATTTGCAAAGTGACCATCCAAAATGAAATTTTTTCCAAAAATGAAATGTGTTAATTTTTAAGAAATTAACTCTTAATATATGGCACAGTGAGCATGTGCATCTGAGAAATTCAGTGTTGTTTACTGTTGATTTTACTCAAAGTAATTCTAAATTTATTTTTTCCACACTGGTTATAATAATTAAGCTGCCTGCTATACTTATGTATCTTACACAAATATGACCACAGCAGTGTACAAAAGAAGCTCTTCTGTTGCTTCATTCTATGTTCCTGGGCTGATTTTTCTTTTGGAACTGGTGTTCTGCCATTAGATGGCAGTGAAATACCAGGAGGATAGTGGTGCAGTTTTTTGCAAACCAAACTTTCCTATTTCAGGTATGCATGACTGAGAAGATCTTTGTACATTTTCCTGATGAGGGATTCTGCCATTGTCTAGGTTAAATGAAGTTGTTAATAATATTTCATATATGGTTTAACAATTTTTAAAAAATCATCTGAAAATCCACAAATGTAACTGCTTGCACAATGCTTGACTGCTTGAGCTGCTGTGTTCTAAAGCATGAGCTGGTATGCCTTCTGTTTAGAGCTCTTATGTTGTAAACTGATTGGAACAAATTCCACCTGTGCATACCTTATTTGGTTAATTACCATTTTTAGTATGCAAATTATGATATTGGCAACGGTATATATATGTATGTATGTATGTACACACACAGACTGATTATTGGGATCAAGATGGTTTTTAATATCAAGTTGTCAATCATATTATTACATCTTAGGACATTCTACAATTCTGTGATCTATTTTACTTAGGTACTGTTAAGTGGATACAGAGTTGAAGGTCCAGGAAACACACACAAGCAGCAGACACATATACACTGACTCAGCATACTGGTACTGCTGTCACTGTACTGATCCCTGCCTGAGGGAATTTCAGAGACAGAACTGGTGTCTTAATGTTTGATGGCTTTGATGCATCTATATTCAGTTTGCTAGTATGTCCAATTCCTTTTCAGCTGCCATAAATTTTTGGCATATATATCATGTGGCGCTTGATTTCTAGGTTTAGCCAAGTGTTAAGCTGAAATAGAATATTTTGTGTCCTGTCAATCACCTGCTTTTTACCTGATGAATTCAAGTTAAGCAGCTCTTATCTAGGCAGGAGCCACTCCATCCCATTGTTCTTCATGTATGTTCAGGCTTCACATCCTTTCGTTATTGTAGGATCAAAATAATGCAGGAACTACAATTCAAGTGCATTGTATGTTTATATTTTCCTATTTTCTGTGCCATTCTTTTTCCTTGTAATTTCTGGCATTTAATTTGCTGCCTTGAATGCCATGTAAGAGTTCTATAGAATGATCAGGTTTTATTTTCCATATAACTTTCTGATGGTGAAGCAAATGTAATTACACTGACAGTTTGCATTACGCCAAGGGCTTTAGAGCAGTTTGAGTGTGCATTATCCAGTATGTCATTCAGTACAAATGTGGAGATTTCCTTCTGCTCTAGCAGTCAGGGTGTATTTGAATTACTTAGAAAGAAGTGTGTGTGTATGTGTGTAAATTATGTACATATGTAGGAATTACCTGTCAGTGTACAATGTGCTGAATTGAGCATTGAGTTACTGAAAGTGAATTTCTTAAGGAATTTTCCCTGGCATTAATGAATAAACTTTTTTTTTTCCCAGGTTTTGTATTTGTTAGTTGAATTTTCCAGTTAGTCAGAAGTTTGGTTTTGTAACATGGTAGCATCTCTTATGTTCCATGTTTTTCAAACATGAATTGATAGAGCTTTTTCACAGAATGTTTTAGAATCTGAGTAAGCTCATAGCTCAGTTAGTGGAAGTTTTGCTCACTTTTCTGAGAACTGCTCTATATAGAGTAATTATGGCTCTGTAAGAGAATAAGTTTTACCTTCTTTTATAACAGTTGCTTATCACTTTGTATGTCTGAACAGATAAAAGAGGCAGAAGCCAAAGCTGCTATTGAAGAGGAGAAGCGAAGACAACAGGTATCAAACTTAATTCTTCTCCAGCCCCCCATTCCCCCCGACCTTGTTGTGTTAATAAATCATTTGATGCATGTGCAGCCCAAGTTGTCTACTTTGTACAGTGCTGTTCCCAGTTGCTGCTTTCAGCTGTTATGTTGCCCTTAGGTGCGTGCCATGAGTGATCTACAGTGGTTAAAAGCAAGCATATTTTCTCTAATAGTTCTCATACTTATGGGCAAAATGGTAATCAGTTTGATGTCTCATTAGAATAACTGTTTTTTATATATATATATATATATATATATATATATATATATATATAATTATTTTTTTCAAATATGAAATACTTCTGATTTTTATCCATCATTTTATAATGCATAAAACTCACAGAATTAATAAGTAGCCTCTGTAGGGATTTGAACTATTGAATGAAACTTCTCCCCTTCATGAGAATGAAGAAACCTAAGTTGGTCTCTGTCCTTCAAGGTCTGGTGGGGTGGAGAATTTTTTTGTAATTGCTGGCTCTAGTGAATGTATGTTGTTGGCACTGTAATCTGAGAAGCTTCTGTGCCAACTGCATGGAAACACTATCGCTAATCTTGTTTCAGAAATTAACTGTAAGCTTGGTTGCTGGTGACAGCTAGCTCAGGTTTATCATCTGGAGGCTTCAGCCTCAATGTACTCCTACCAACTGGCTTTTATGCCTGTGCCAGCGCATTTGACACGTTGTGTTCTATGTCTGGTGTGTGGTTTCTGACTTTTACTCATTTATCAAAACAGTTCTGTATTAGATTATGCTCGAGTTTTCAACTGGATTGCACATTCCATTCTTATCGCAGCAGTGGCTCACTGCTTCGAGTGGATGCAGAAGACTTGCTTACATGGCTGATCATCTTGTACCATTCTCCCAATCTCATTAGGACATTCTTGGGTAGGGAGCTTCTCTGCTGGGTACAACTTCAATTAATTGCCTAGGAGGCTCTAAGTACTGTGTCTGTTAACTGGTGCTCCACCAAGGCCTACTTTTGTTTCTCTTACAGGATTTTCTCTACTTACCATTGTGCCTGGTGTCCAGGGGGACAGGCATTGCTTTGTGGTCATCATGCAGTGTTTATTATTACAGTCATGCCTCAGCTGTTAACAATATTGATCATACATTCCCTCATATGTCTCATAGACAGTTCGTCTAATTCTTTTGTTCTCTAAGCTGCAGGACAGAGGCCAGGAAGTGTAGCCCATAGAAAGCATTTGAAACATGTTGTTGGGGAGAGATAGTCTGTAAATGACAGGGCTGGAAGTTAAGTACTGAAATGTACAAATAGACTTGCATTCATATAAACAATATGCTTACAATTGCTGAGCAAGAAATTCAAAGTTGCTGGTGCTTGTATTGCACTGATTGTGTTTTTATGCCTTCCGGAAGGCATTCTAGTCACTAATGATTTCTGCATCAAAGCCACTTATTTATGATCCTTCCAGTGTAGCAGAATTGCTCCACCAGCAGTGTGTTCATTATTGTCTTAATTGTTCAGCAGAGTCTGTTTCTCCTTCCAGTTACTTCTCCATTGCTTTCAACTTGTGCTTTCAGAGCTACAGTCCAGCACCATGCTGTGCAGTGTACAGCAAACACTTCTGTATGCATATTTTTGTGATGGACTGTGACTTCAGGGATGGAAGACTTCACCCATATGTAATCAAGCCTATTAATTAATAGATTAATTAATAAAGGCCAGTTGTATAGCGTAACAAAGATTATTCAAGGACAAATGTAGCTAATAAATAGTCTTTAGAACTGCACTAAATTACTTCTACCAGGTAGCTAACATTGGTTCCTTTCCAATTTGATCTCATTATCTACCATCTGGTGATGTGACTTGAAGCACATCACTGTCATAGGGTGCTGCTTCATGTATGTGTATATACATATATGATGTTCTTACTACCTTCTGCAAAGGTTTGCATCTTGTACCATCTTTCTGATGTCATTAGTACCTTTTTGCATAGTTTGTTGCTTGCAGCTTCTTGAGACTTGTTTTTATTAATGCTGTAAGCTAGTTAGTGCTTTGGTAAGTCTGCAAACTTGCATTTTGGTGTTTGCTGTACTTCTATAAGGACACTTACAGATGGAATCGCTTGTTTAGTTAGAAAAAAATAAGGTGATCTGAAGGCTGGGCACAACTGTTCCCTGGTACTTGTTCAGAGATGGATGAAATTTGTGGTATGATGACAACTATATGACAACGCAGCTGTAAGGATAGAGACTGCATCTTTCTCATTCTGGATCTACGAATCTTTGTTCCTTTTTTTTTTTAACAACGTATTCATTTTTAGCTGGGTTTTAATGAAAATCTCTAGGAAGGCAATTAAGTACCTGTCACATAATCATTCAAGCCCTATACTTTAATTCATATTACTGCAGTTCGTGAGGCATTGGATGTTCATGTGTACCTATTAACTGCAGAAGCCCCAAATTTTATTTAGCGTTTTTGTAAAATATTGACATATATAAAATCTTATGAACTCTGCACTTACCTCCACGTATTGGATTTTGAAAAACTGCTTCATTAAGATACTTCTCAGAAGGAAGATTAGTTAGTTGAAAGTAATTTGTTTTGTGTAGCAGGTTGTAGAACTTTGAATTTTTCTCTCTATTTAATCGTCAGGGAAGTGCAAGTTTCTTCCTTTATTAGGTACGAAGTAACAGACATTAAAACAGGCCCCTCAATTCTGCTTCTGGCGGTATCTGGCACAGGAAGGGAAGTAAGATGTGCTTTATGAAGCTGACAAGGATTTGCTGTCAGTAGAGGAAGACCAGAAAATCTTGAGCTCCAAATTAAAATTACGTTTACTGGAGGGCTTCTCTGCCCATTTCCCAAAACGCTCTGGTTCTTTTTTCTTTAATGGACCTATTTTATTGTCTAAGTTCCATTTTTCCTGGCATCTACATGAAGTTGTGTAAATCTACATGAGGTCATGTAGATTTATTTTGTTTCATATCCAGTCTTTGCTCTGTTCACTGTCCACATTTCCTCTGCTGAAACTCAGTCTTGTGCCTTTTGCCCAGCCAGTCCTGGCTTGTTGTGCTCTGCCTCTCTGATCTCTCTTCTCTCTTTCAGTGCATGTAATGTCTGCTCCCTAACTCCTTCAACCCTACTAAAAATCCAGATACTTGTCAGAGCTCTTCTGTTTCTGATCTGTGGTGGCTCACCCCTACAGCATCTTTTATGGCATTCCTAGCAGTCAGATGGCTCCAATGGAGGCTCATCACTGGAGTCCTGTCCCACTCTTAAACTCTTTCATCCAAGCTGCATAGTTCCAGTTTTATTCCAGCTTTGCACCCTAAGAAGAGTTTTGCCTTGAGCTGATATCCTTTTAAGAGGAGGTGTCTTCCTGGAGTGTGGTGAGGGGAGGAAGAGGGATCAGAGGATCCTACTGTGTCTATTCCAGAATCACCCTGAAACTGCTGTTCAGGATAGTAGCTTGACATTCTTTTTCCAGTTGCTTTGCTTCTTTTCTGAACATAAGGACTTTCTTTGAAGAGTGCCACTTTGAAGAGTGTCTATTTTTTTTAATTAAAAAAAAAAAAAAAGAGTACTTCCTTATTACAGGAAGGTCATCTTTTAAAATTTTAGCCAGTGCTTTTCTATGTGTTATTTTAGCGGTTTAAATACTTACGAGTGCTTTTCTTTATTGGGAAAGTATTTTTTCCCCTATTTTTAACCTATAGTGTGAAAATAGCAATCTACTGGCTTAGTATATTTAAGTTGAGGTAGAAATCATATGTAAAACTTCATTTGTTTGCATTTTTGGCAGTGCTTTGTAGGAAGCTAAACAGTGGTTTAACACTTGGAAGCAAAGTGCTTTGTAAGCATGGGAGATATGGTGCTACATTTTATCTCTAAGAGATGTATAACTTTCTTGGCCTGCTAGTTATTTTTATAAATGGTTTTGGGGAATGTTATTTAAAATCTCCATGTTTTCTTGCTTTTACTCCTGATGCAATATCAACAACTTCTGGTTTTCTCTTCTAGGCTGAACTGGAAGCTTTTGAAAACAGATTAAAAGGACGAAGAAAGAATAAGAGGAGAAGGGATGAAGTAGAAATTGAACAATCATTGTGGCAAAAATATAAAAACCTCATTATGCTGCCAATGTTTGGAGTTGCTGTTGTGATGGTTGCATGGCTCATGGTCTACAATGACTGAATCATCTCAGTATTCAATATACCTCAGTTGGGCATTAGGTAGCTATTATTCTTAGAATGTTTAGTTTGTATGCAACAGAAATTAATATGCATAAACTGTGTATGTACACTATTTGCAAGAAAAGTGAAGAGGAGGGAAGAAATGTCACCTTTTGTGTTGTTACATTCACAGCACAAAACTAAATTCACACACTGAAGATAATGAAATAGTAAATCTTAGTTGACACTGAAGTGCTGATGTAGTTTGTCTGAGATATGTTAACATCTGTCCTATTAATATTATTACTTTTCCTTGTCTCTATTTCACAATATTAAAAGTAGCTTAGTATAAAGTGCTTTCTTGAATATTTGTTTCTCAAATACTTAGTATATGATTAAGTATTAGTATTTATAAGTTAGTCCCTTTGTTATATCACACAACAATTTCTGTCCTTCACACCAGTTTTCCTTGTAGCAACTGAGGCACTTCAGATCATTCAAGTTTTGAGCATTCTGTGGCCTCTCACGTCAAAACTTTCTTTAGAGAAAAGAAATGTGAAATGTCTCTCAATTCAACTATAATGCAGATAATAAAATGGGTCCCCTTGTAGACTATTTTTTTTTTTTAATTGTTGCTGTTTTTCAGTGCTCGGTTCCTCAAAATCAAATCAACTGAAAACTTCATTTAGTGGATGGATGCATACACTGAACATAGGTGTGAAGTACTTTCAGCATAGAGGGATTCGTTCTCATTGTTTTTCATGTAGCCAAGGGCAGAAAAGCAAATTGAAATTAAACTTAGAGCATTGCTTCTATATTTTTATAGAGAACTGTCACGTTTGAGTATTTGCCTAGATGTACACAAATGTAAAGTAGTTGAATAGTGTGCTGGTACAACTGTATGTTGTTCTGAAGCCATCTGGATGGTGTTTTCCAGTAGTGTGTGAAGTATCTAGCTAATGTTTTAAATATTTGAGTATTGCTGACAGTTTCAAAGGCCTTGCTTTGGGAAATTGAGCAATTGGTAGAAGTGCAAGGTTTACATGGCTTTGAGATTACAAGGAAAGTTATATTGTCTCAGCTGAAGGGCTGCAAGTGAAGTTTGGGATGTAAGGGAAGAATCAGAAAAATGATTTTATCTTTTTTAATCTCTGCTGGAAATGTTATGCTGATACTTGAGCATCATGTGTATCCAAAGAGTGCTTTACAAGATCCTTTGAAAGAGGAGGTACAAAGCTTGCAGTTCTTGGAGTTCTGACTGTGGGATGTTTGTTTTCCTTGCAAAGCAATTGTAATTTTAGCATATAGTTTCTTTGCAAATGCTTGCAAAAGCAGTGGGACCATTTGAGGGAAGGAGTAGAGAAAATTGCAGTTTGTTTGAGAGCTCTTTTGGTCAGATTTAACCTACATGTAAAAGGACTTGAAATGAGCTAACATCCAAATGTGTGATTACAGTTCAGCAGCAGGAAAAGCAAGAAAAGCTGCAAAAGGCAGTAGATCCTGGGGAAACAGTTTCTGATTTTTTTTCACCCAAGTTTAGTGGAAGAGAGATGAGGAAAAATTGGCAATTTTTAGCAAGAATGAGTGCTATTTGGGAGTATTAGATACATACCTCTGTATTTTAAACTGACGTTAAAAACTTACTGATTCTGTCATGGTTTTCTTAGGCTGTTTAGTATGTAAAGCTGTGGAATTAAAATTAGTGTAGAACTGAAATTCCACCAGGTAATCAAAATTATATCTGTTGAATTCTCTTATTTCCTAGTGTAAGGAGTGAATAATTTCCATTTTGTTGCTTTAGCTCTTTTCTATAATGCTGATGCCTGCGAGATAATTGCGTATGTAGGTGTTGTTTCTTTAACCAAGTGAGGTGATGCCATTATTCTCCCATCACTGAGGAAAAAAAGGAGGGAGATTTTTTTTGTTTGACTGAAGTAAGATGTGATCTATTGTCCAAAACTACAAAAAGAAGCTTTTGTAGGTGGAATATTTAGGTTAAGGTGAATGGGAACACTGTGAAAAACAGCTCTTATTTTATGTGAATCTAAGCCATTTTTTTAATGTAGTGTAAGCTATTTATTTGAAACAAGTACAAAGTAAAGTTTCTCCTTGCCTCTGTAGCAAAGAGAAGAAATCTCTACAGAGCTGTAATAATGAACTGCACTCGAGTTACATGTTTCAAGTGGTTCTAAATGTACTTTTCTGCATATTTTGCAATATTTGTGTGACATACTGGAAAGGAAAAGATTTGCTTCTGATTGATCATCTTTATTGAAATAGGAAAGCATACCAAACCCTAAAATTCATTCCATTCATAATGTGTGAATGTAAGCATATTCCCTTGAGAGATTCATCTTTCTTCTAAATCTTGCATATGTGGAAAAACCCCTATTTTTGAAATTGTATTGAGAATAGCTCTGCCTGCTAAACCAGATAGATGTCTATTGGCATTAAAAAAAAAGCATGTGGGCTCAAGCAAACTGCAGTTTAACAAATCACTTTCTTCTATTTGTTGTTTTAAAATTATTTTTACAATTCTTTTTTTTTCCTTTTGTCTTTGATTGAAGACAAGTTGTTGTTGGAGAAGCGCAACAACTGTGAAGTAAAAGTTACAGATGAAATCATTTGGTATTCAGTATATATGAAATATTTAGATTACAAAAAAAAAAAATGTTTTGAATGTTAACAACTTACAACAAATATAAAAAGCACACTGAGAGATACACATTAGAACAAATGATGTAATGTGACCTGGTGTTGGAGGGATATCGGAGATGAGCCAGATGATGGGCGTGCTTCAAAATATTTAGATACATGTAAAATAAAGAAAACAAAAACAAACTTCTGAGAGCTTTTTTGTTTCTTTTCTATTCTGATTCCAAGCACATTCTGGTTAGCGTTAATCTCTGTACTGAATCAGGGTGCTTACAGGCTGTTAGTATTTTGGACTGGAAACTCTTTGGGTGAGTTTGTTCCCTGTAACAGTAATGAGACTTTTGTGTATGTTAATTTAATGTAAAAACCAAGTCATACAATAAACACATCCAAAACTACTTGCACTACTTGGTTTGTTTTCAAGGACTGCTATCAAAAAGCACCAACCTTCTCCCAGGTCATAACAGCTGAGGTGCTGGAATGGAAGTTCTAGTCGTGCTTTTTTCCCTCCTTTGGCAGCAGTAGTTCTCACTGCTCAGAATAATACTGAAGTTATGTAATCACGTTCCTTCATGGCTGTGCTGACAACAGGTTGGGAAGCCGATTAAGATGAAACAAATGGGAGTGGATTTACTGGATTATTGCTTTGGCCTCATAAATAAATAAGTGATTTATGAGACATTTGCTCTGAGAGTACTCCTGGAGAGGGAAATGTCACTATGCAGATAACAAAATTTGTTCTTGAAAGCTTCTATGCATGATTATGGCTTTAAAGCACTGAACTCTGAGTGCTTGCCGTCTCAGCAGTTCTAGTTCCAAAATGTATCAGCACTGTATGCCAGCTGCTCTGCAGGTGATGTCTGGGTTGGAGTGCTCAGCCTGAGGATTTTCCTGTGCCAGGCAGAAGAAGTTGGAGCCTTGTGGAAGCTGCTCTGGGGTGTGATTTAGGGGGAGTGGGTGTTGTTGGGTGGGCAGGCTGCGTGTGACCCTGACAGCAGTTCCTCTCCCAATATCCCTCCTCTATTCTGATTTCATCTTAGTTGTTGGGCATGGGTGTTTAATTAAAAGTCAAATTATATGGTAATATACTTCTTCACTTCCACTAAAGGTAATGTTACTGAGCTATTTGTACACTGTGTTGACATGTTTATATATTGTTCTACCAGAAAACAAGTTCCTACCAGGACTGCTGTATCAATATTGAATCACAGAATAGAAATGTAGAATCCCTAGTGTTGGAAGGGACCTTTAGAGGTTGTCTAGTTCAACTTCTCTGCAACAAATAGGGAATATGAATATGGGCCATGCTCTTGAGGGTACTCAACCAAGTATTATTTAATCTAAATAATTTTCCTCAGGCAGCATTGCCCATAAAACTGCTAAAAGCAGAGCTCAGCTTAGGCTTTCTCTGTGTGCTGTACATTGGCTGAGTCTTGTTAGCTATGAAACAGCATCAGAGTGGCTCTCCAGCTTGAGTGAGTTGCCATGAGGTTGCGAGTAAAGTTTGGCTTAAGGTTTGGAATTCATTATTTCTGCTGAGAGAATGCAGCCTCCCACCAAGGCCACACTAGCCACGAACCTTACCTTTTCATTTTTGGTTTTCATTTGCTCTCACTGTGTTGTATATATATATATATATATATATTTTTTTTTTTTCCTCCACGGGGCAAATGAATCAAATGAATCTCTGTAAAACGCTGAAACAACAATAAACTTTGGCTTGATTCCTTCCCCCCCCCCAATATGGCCTGTATTATTTCTTTTATTTTACATAATGTCCAAATTGCCTAATGCATAAATGCTCTTGCTTTTGTCTTCTGCCCTCCTTTTCCTACTATTTGTGCAGGTATTTAAAAAGAAAGAAGAAAAGCAAAAAAACAACACTATTTTCCCTTCAGAGTAGACTTAGGTTGGGTAAAGGAATGCAGGACTGAGAAATGGTGGTCAGGAGCACTTCAGAAGCACAAAATGCCCTAACTTTACACACGAATGAGAAGTGATGCACCCTACAGCCGAATATAAAGTAACAGATTCCTGGAACAGAAGCCGGCTAGGAGCTGAGAGCAAGTTTGTGACTTAAGGTTTGCTTATAGATATGTCTGCATCTGAATGGTGTCATCCTGACAGCCACAGTCGTGATTAGGAATAGAAGCCATTCTCATGTCGAACTATTTTCACACATTTCTTGGGTGCTTTCTTACCTGCGTTTTGAAGAACTACTTAGTGTGCGTGACAATGAGAACTGGGAGCCCTTCTGCTTGCATACATAATTCCAGAACCCGGCTCTGGCGATGCTATTTTGTGGCTGCCGGAAGGGTCCCAGACTGCTCCACTGGTGCGTGGTGTTTGTTGCTGAGTTGAGCACCGGGTTTGAGAGCTCAGAGATGCACAAACCCTCGCCGTCTGAGACTTCAGAGCCGGAGCCCTCACTTCGGAGCCGAGGAGGATGCGTCAGGGAAAGGCACTCCGCCGCGCTTCGGGAAGGAAGAGCTGGACAGCCTGTAGGCATGAAACTTCCTACCTCGGGGACAAGCAAGAACTGTTGCGGGCTCCTAACCCACACAAGGAGCAGTAGGGAGCCGGGCGCGTTCTCTGCCACGCGCCGCAGCTCCGACCCGGGGACGCGGAGCTCGGTGTGATGGAGATTAGTTGCGGCGGAGCCAGCCCCAGTCCAGCAGTCGGGTGTGCCCCTCGCTGCCAGCTGGCTGCCGCCCTCCCCAGGAGATGGCGCTGAGGGCAAAACGGGCAAGTAGGCTGTTCCTCAGCTCGTCTATAAGGGTAGAGTCTTTGTGTGGGAAAGGGGTGGGGATGCGGCGGCTTTCTCGCGGAGGTTTATTATTATTGGGCGGGTGAAGGTGGAGGGGGGGGGCGAGCGCACCGAGCAGACAAAATGCGGAGCCCCTCACTCCGCGCCCGGCAAGCGTGCGTGCGCGCGCGTTCGGGAGGTGGGCGGCTCGGTCAGCGGCGGTAGCAGAGAAGAGCAGGGGACAGGAGAGAGCGGAGAGGAGCCAGTGACAGCACGAGCATGCTCTCCATGCAACAGTTCCCTGCCCTGCCCACAGAGGAGGAGCGCTACCGGCAGGTCCTCTCTGCCAGAAGGGTAAGGCAAGCCCGAAAGCGCCGGTAGGCTACGAGCAAGGGTGCGGTGCCAGTGTCTCGCCGCCCTGCGCTCATTCTTTGGGGCTCCGGCGGGCGGCAGGGTTCACGGGTCAGCGCAGAGTGGAGAGTCCCGCTCCCGGCCTCGTGGCTGGAGAGAAAGAGTGAGGGTCGGGACCGTGCCGCTCGAGGGGACGCGTTCCGGGGCGGCCGGGGAGAGGTGGTTGTCCGCCCCACCTGTCTCTGCGGGCGCTCCGCCGCCTGAGCTCTCCTGTGTGCACAGCTGCGCGAGGGGCACGCGGAGACGACCGAGCTCGGGGGCTCGCGGAGCAGGTGGGTCGTGTCGCCCACGGCTCGATGCCAACCTCTTGCTGAGACTCTCACAGAGTCGGTGGGGAAAGCGAAGAGGGCTGGTGTGCCCGTTAATTCCTCTTTTCCTATCAGTTCAGCAGCCGAAGGTGCGCCGAGCCCGGCGGCAACAGGTCCGGTCGGGCTTTGCGAGAGCGAGGTTGGGGCTTAGTCTCCGACGGGACCCCGCCCGTGACCCCATTCTCAGCGCGGAGTCCCCCTCGCCGGACACCCCTGCCGCGGCTTTGCGCCCGACGACACCGTCGGTCGCCGCCCCCTGCGGAAGGTCATCCATCCCTCGGAGCGTCATAGAGAGGGGCCGGGAAACTTGAAGCGAAAACGAGCTGTTAGTCCTCGCTGGGAGAGGCAGGGTACCTGGGCGACAGCGTTCCCAGCTCCCCGCAAGCTCCCCAGCGGGAAAACCTAGTGAAAGGGAGGCTAGGCGGCCGCGGGGTGAGCGAACAGGTGTCTGCCCGAGTCCCGGTGCGGGTCACGCCGCACGGCGGGCGAGAGCGGCGGGAGACTGCGGATGCACTCGGTGTCAGCGCGCTCGGGCCAGCACCGCACGCTGCGTGCTCCAGCGAGATAACGCGCGCGGTCTGCAAACTTTGCGCTTTTGCACTCGAAAAGACGGTGACGGAGCTTCCTGCGCTGTGAAATCGTTCCGTGTGCCACCAAATTGCACAGCGGCGTTTTTAGAAGTTCCTAAATATGGCAAGAGTAATTTGTAAATTGTATCATTTCTCCACCTGATTTAAAACGCAGAATCCTTGGATGCATTTCATGGAAGACAATTAATTAACTTTTTATGTAAAGTTATTAGCAGTCTGGCTGAGATGGTGAAACTCTAAGTGAAATGAAATACCTAGAGCTTTTAATGCATTCGTGGGGTCTCTTGGGAGGGCTTAGCTTTCAGCAGTAAAAACATGGGGATGGATTTTTCCATATGGCCTCTTACGTCTGTTCCATGTTCTTAAAGATGGTCCTGTCTAAAACTACAGTTCTTAGTTTTGTTCTTCTCATGTATGCCTTAGTCTGGGCTGTTACCAGCCTCTCAGGTGCTGGAACTGTTGAGGTACAGGCACAGTTGAATGACAGTATCGGGATATTTAGGTATCCCCTAAACATTTACTACAATGAGTCAGCAATCACTGTTCTTTTCTAAAAGCTGGTAGCATTGCCTGAATATGCTGGCCATCTACATTCTGCACAAAGTTTCTCTAAGGGACAGGGAATTCCCAAACACTGTCCAAAACTTGTTCAGAGAGGCAATACTTGTGACTTCCCCAGCAATGCTGAAGCCCTTCAGCCTTATGCACCATCCTCGCTCCTCATGCACCGTTAATGCAGCCAGTAGCACTTGTTCTTGGGACAGTGAGCCAGGTTGCACAGCTCACTTTCCCATGTTAGAGGAATCTGCTTGTGATCTATTAGTACCTGATAGGACCATCAGGGCAAAACGTTGTGTGTTGCCCCCCCCAGTCTTTTGGAGCCCAGAACTGTAAGGCATCAAAGAAAGCATTCACTTCCTCTCCAAAAATCTGGCACTCAGCTGCATGCCTGTGGCAGATAACTTGAGCATGTGGTGAATTGAGAGTGTAAGGTAGCTTCGAATATGTCACAACTGAACGTGTTCTATAAAATGTGCAGTACACCCTGGGCAGTTTAATGTATCTGAATTTTTGTTTATTCATTTCTTATGTATTAGATGATGTTTGCAGATATAAAGGAAAGCCAGGGCTGTAAGAAGTGCCAATAATTATTTTAAAATGCATGTTTACTTGCATGTAGGAACATTTATTCTTCCATTTTTTCTTTTTATGCTCCCTAACCCTCCCCCTCCTTTTTTTTTTTTTTTTTTTTTAATTTGCTAAGCTGGTATACATGTTTAGTTCTTAACACTCTGCTCCCTTGAAGACCATTAATGTCCTGTTGTTATAGCAAACCCTTATGTAGTTGTAACATTTCTTCTCGTTTGTGTGGCCAAAAAAGGCTGAGGTGGATAAAGCCTCTGACAGAGCCAGCAGAGAAGATGGGTATAGGCGAGGCAGTGTTGGGATGCTTAGACCTAGTGAAAAATCCCAGCAACTCTTGTGCTCACCATGACTCAAATGGTCTAACCAATCAATGCTGAATTCTACATAAGCCTTTTGTGCACAAGAAGGAAGCCAGTGCTTCCATGAATGTGGCCTAGTGGCTCAGATGGAGACCAAGCTTCAGGAGGGTGAGGCCATCCCAATATGTAGGTACTGAGGCATTTCCTAAGGAGATGAAGCTGTGGCTTTGACCCTCATCTGGATTGGGGACTACAGATACTAGGCCTCCTGCTTTCAGGCTGAATGTGATGTGCTGTGAGGCAATCACACACAGTGGTGCTATCACCTGGTGTGGCTGGTCAGCTTTTAAAGATGGCAGACATTGCTACATTGAGTGGGAAGAGCTGAATCTGTCAGCATGTCAGGTGTTGGCAGAGCATTAAATCATAGAATGGCCTGGGTTGAAAAGGACCACAATGATCATCTAGTTTCAACCCCCCTGCCATGTGTAGGGTCACCAACCGCTAGACCAGGCTGCCCAGAGCCACATCCAGCCTGGCCTTAAATACCTGCAGGGACGGGGCATCCACAACCTCATTGGGCAACCTGTTCCTGTGTGTCAGCACCCTCTGTGTGGAAAAACTTCCTCCTAATATCTAACCTAAACTTCTGTTTAACAGCATTCTCCTTTGTCCTATCACTATGCTTATATCCTAACACAGTTGCTTATGAGTCCAGAGAAAGGCTTCGTTTCTGATGGCCAGCTGTGATTTGGCAGGGCTGGGTGTCAGGCCACTTGCAATAGGGCAGTCATAGGCATGCATGTGCAGCAAACACCCTTCCAAACGTTGCTGCTGGGCACCTCCTAATTTTTAAATGCCTGCAGCAGGGCTTTAGAGGGGCAATGTGATTGCAGTTCGAAATAGTGATGTTCCCGCTCTGTTCCAGTTTCTTTTCCTACCGAAAAAGAGATGGACCACAAGCTTAAACTCCCCTTATGAAGGTCTTCTCGTGCAGAACAACCTCTAACAACTGCACTCTCCCCGGGGTGCTCAGCCCGGGTCGGGCCGCTGGGGTTTCCCCGTCGGTCTGTCGGCACGGCAGCGCGAGGAAGCGCTCGTGCTGCCGCCCCCGGCTCGCAGCCCCGCGACAGAGGAACACGACGCCGACCGCATCCCTTAGTTCTGCCCCCCGCCCCTCTATAAATAACTCTTTCCGGGCTGACCTGTCAGATTCCCCCGGCAGAGCGGATCCCCTTAACCCGGGGCGCCTGCAATGGAAAGTCTGAATGCAAAACATACCGTCGTAAAAATAGCGCAGCTGAGGAGCCTCCTCTGCACGTCCTGGTGGTGCCGCTCCGACCCTCGCGCTCACGGCTCGTCCCCGGATAACGGCTGTGCTCGCGCCGGTGGCCCTGAGGCGTTTGGCTGCCCTGAGAGCCCTCCTGCCTGCTGTAGTGGCCTGATGGTGAATTTTTTCCTCCCTTCTCTCTCCTTTTAACTGAAGGAAGCAGATTTCATCAGTTCTCTTCTGGTCAATGCTTTCTAATCGTCCAGCTCGAAAGAAGTAATGGTTTAATGTCCTAAATGCACAAACAGCAATGAGGCAACAGTTGAGCCAGGACTTCCCGCTTTAAAAAGAGGCGAGAAGTCTCTGAGGTAACACAGGAGATTTCAGTTTGTGCCTCCCTTGCTTGGAGGATCGATCCCTGAAGGGAGAGATTCTCCTCGGCTGTGCTTTGAAGCTACTCTAATTTGAAGAGATGCTTGTCATCGTTCATTTAAGCATATAATTAACGTGCTACTATTTCTGGTTGTTTTACCTGCACAGTTTGAATATTTGGATTTAAAAGCAGCAATAAATACCAGAATGTGGTATCTAGCTGTTGGTGTGCTTTCAGCTTTGGTGCATCTGTACTGTGATCTCCTGTCTTGCAGTGTCCACTGGGGCCCCCCCTGCCCTGAATGCTGTGCTGGAGCAGCCTCAGCTCGCAGCCGTGCACCCACACAACCACTCAGTTATCTCAGAGACCTGGTGGCCAACTCATCAGTAAAGGCAGTTTGAGAAAGTACATTTACTCAGAAATGACCAAAGGTAGTGTTACCTCTGTGGCTGTCTCCTCCTTTGTTGTCTTTGATCCTTAAACTAAGTGGAGATGGAATGAATCAGTTTGTGATCAGATCCTTTTCACTGTCTGTGCCATTAGAGTGGAACTGTTGCTTCTCTGAATATTGCACAGTTTATAATTCTCTCTTTGTTCGTGATAGTGTTGTTACCCACGTAAAGTAGTTTTCAACTTGTTGCCCTGTAATGAAATGAGGCTGAAAAGCAGATATTGCCAGAGATGCTCT